ACTACAGATAGCAGTGTGGGCCAAAACCCGCCATCCTTTACATCGTTAGAAGCTTTAATCATTTCTGTTGCTCTTCTCTTCGTTTCTCCACATCTTTCTTGAAATGTGATGCCCAGAACTGAACACAATACTCCAATTGAGGCCTAATCAGCACAAGGTAAAGCAGAAGAATGACTTCTCCTATCTTGCTCGCAATCAGGGTCGGCTCGAGCCATTCCTGCGCCCCAGGCAGGGGGCACACGACGCATGTGCAGCGCCGCCCCTGGGCGCACGGCACATGCGTGGCCCCGCACTGCAGCTGTAAGGTGAGCAGCACGCTGGAATCGGGTGCACTGCAGCTGTAAGGTGAGCAGCACGCTGGAGTTGGGTGCACAGGTGCCTGATTGCAGCTCTAAGGGGCACCGCGCAGCCCCCAGCCAGCTCCCGATCTTGGGTGCATGGCGCCTGATGGCAGCTCTAAGAGGCACTGTGTGGCCGGGCGCACAGCGCCCCTTACAGCTGCCATCAGGCACCCCTCGTAGGTTGGCACCCCAGGCAGCTGCCCGGCTAGCCCCCGCCTTAATCCGGCCCTGCTTGCAATACTTCTCTTAATGCATCCCAGAATCATTATTGCAAGTGTCACACTGTTGACTCATTTAGCTTGTGGCTCACTGACCCCTAAATCTCTTTCCGCAGTACTATTTCCTAGACAGTCACTTCCCATTCTGTGTGAAACTGATTGTTCCTTCCTAAGTAGAGTACTTTGCATTTGTCCTTAGAAGCTTCATCCTGTTTACCTCAGACCGTTTCTCCAATTTGTCCCGATCATTTTGAATTATGACCTTATCTTCCAAAGCAGTTGCAACCCCTCCCAGCTTAGTATCACCTGCAAATTTAATAAGCATACTCTGTGCCATCATCTAAATCGTTGATGAATATATTGAACAGAACTGGTCCCAAAACAGACTTCTGTGAAACCCCACTTGTTATGCCCTTCCAACATGATTGTCAAACATTAGTAACTACTCTCTGAGAATGGTTATCCACCCCATTATGCACCCACCCTCTAATAGCCCCATCTAAGTTGTATTTGCCTATTTATTGATAAAAGATCATGCAAGGCCATGTCATTATAAGTAAATGTGTCCTGCAAATGAAGTGTCTGACCATTTCCCATCAATTGTCAAGAAATTTATTCATTGTTTAGTATTCTGATACAGAAATAGAAACCGATATCTTTCATCGTTTCTCCCTATAAACTACTATATATTGGAGGGAATTTGTAAGTCTGTGTGTTCATCCATCTGTGAGTCTATTTATACAAGAACTCCTCCTAAACGGTAACAGCTAAAACCACCAAATCTGGTATACCGCTTTCTCTTATCATAACTTAAAGCAAGGTTGGAGCTTGGGATGTGTGTGGAATGTGATTGTTTCTCATTAAACAGAAAAGGAGAAGTGTAATAGCTGGGTCAATTATACTCATGAATGACCACAGGAGGGCAGCAACCATCCCAGCACAGGGATGAGCCTCTGTCCAGCAGCATGGCCCCCACTGCCCCAGGCCAGCCCCTGGAGAAGCTGATGACTGCCCCCAGCCCTCCTCTTGAGGCCCCACCCTCTGTCCTGGGAGTCCCACATTTCCCAATCCCCTGACCCGACTTCTGCACCCCCACCTCCTGCCCTGAACCCCTCCTCACACCAACCCTGACTCCCGCATCCATCAACACTCCAAGCTTCCTGCCCTGAGCCCTCCACATCCCGAAGTCACTGCCCTGACTCCTGAAACCCTCCACGGCTCCAGCCTCCTGCCCTGAATGACCCAAGCAATGCTGCATAAGCCTTCTAGTAGATCATAAGTTACTGATTGTCCAACAGGGAATTTAGGTCCTCATCTTGCAAATATTTATCCACATGCTTAACTTTATGACAGGAGTAATCCTATGAAATTTGTTAGGCAGATACATAAGTATTCTCAGGATCCCAGATGATGATGAAATCCTATTTATGTCCCAGTGTAAGACTGATAGTTGGTTCATATGCTTGTGATTACACATTGATACAATTTTAGTTACAAAAAATTAGAAACAAAACATATGGGTTTTTCCATGTCCACATGCTACAGAAAACAAACATTGTTCGGGGGGAAGAGGGGACTCTAATCATCCCAATTTGAATAGTTAAATCTAAATTCTCAAATGGAATGAATAGGAATATTTATATCCATGGGCCCTAATCCTACAAATACAGATGCATGAATAGTTCCAACAGTACCACTGACCAGTGTGTAACTATTTGCCAAGTTAGATGCTATGTGGTGCTATTATTTTACTCAGTGTGCTATGGAAATATGTTGATTTACCATATTAAATGACAATACAGCACCTATCATTCCAGAATGTTTCATTACAAACCCTAGCCCAAAAATCAAAGGCCACTTAAATCAATGGGATTCTTTCCATTGACATCAATGGCTTTCACCAAGCTTCAAGCCTTTGACCAAATCATAGGGAAGGTGATGAATCATTCTGCTGTAACAGCAGTAGCTTAAGACACTCTTCCAGAATTCTTCCAAGGGCTCAGGTTTGTGCAGCAGGTTTGTGTAGGAGCTTCAAACTTTGAAACGGTCCATCATGCATTTCCTCTCTAATGCTGACCCAGGTCTGCTGCTCGGTGCAGAGGTGACACCAGTGTACCCCAAATTCATCCCTCTTTGTATAAGATAGTGCTACTGCTGGCTCCAAGCTAGCACAGGGCTTACACTCCTTATCTATACCGTGGCTGTGCCTTGTACAGGGTATGAAAGAGAGGCTAAGACTCCTCATGGCATATTCTATCCTTCTTGTGCCCCATGTATTGACTGCCAAAACTGGGTTATACTTCACATGCCAGCATGTACATACCATATATCATTTAACTTACAAATGAAATGCTGACACCAATAAGGTAAAAGAGGTCAATCAGGCTATGTCTGCATTGCAGCTTTATTTTGAAATAACAAAGTACGTGTTTATACAGCAAGCCCGTTATTTTGAAATAATTTTGAAATAACGGACTTCTTACTCTGACTTCTGTAACCCTCATTTCACAAGGAGTAAGGGAAATCAAATGGACAGTGTTTTTTCTTCAACTTCCTGCTATACAGACAGCGCCAAAAGCCAAATTAAGCTATTTCAACTTCAGCTATTCAATTAATAGAACTGAAGTTGCGTAGCTTAATTTGACTTTTGCCCACAGTGTAGCTGTTCCCTCACTATTTTACATAATAAGATGTAACTTCATCTGGTCACAGCATTTCCAACTAAATGAAATTTCAAAGCCAAAATGTCATCAGCTAAGTTTTCATTGGTACAGATTTTTAGATCCAGGACTCTCTCGTCCAAAGTTACCAAAGAAAAACTAAAAATCTTGTATTCTCTAGCATGGCCATTGGCCTGGGATGTGGGAGACCTACCTTCAAACCTGTTCTGTCTGGTTCAGAGTGATCGGGTCCAGAGTGATCTGGATGAAAAGGACTGTTCTGACTCAGGCAGGCTAATCTACATCTCAGGCCAGTACCCATGTTACCAGACTAGAGAATGTGAACATTTGTTTTTAATCAACAGGAGTTACTTTGAACTTAAAGCTCAGTTTTTAATCAAAAATGGACTTTTTAAAGATAAAAAGTCAATTAAAATGTTTGAAATATTTGATTTAGTTCCAGTCCAAAATGAAGAAAATTTAAAAACCTTGAAAGTTGCTGTGAAATGGAATTGTTACCCTCTAGTCAGCCCTAATTGTGATGGATTTGATAGTCAATGTTTTCACTGTTGTTTTCTAGGTAAATAGACTGTAGTCATTCCAGATTGTAATTTGGACAGCAAAGCAAAACTGACATTACTACTCAAGAAAGATTAAAGTACCAGGGAATTGTTATAAGTGGTCAAAAGTTTGGTTAGATGCCTTGTTTTATTATCTTTCTATAATTATAAAGGGATAAAAACAAGATTTTTTTTAAAGTAAACTACTAGAAGTTTATATTCTGTAATACATCACAAAACCAGAGGGAAAATGCAGTAAGACTATGCCCTGTTCTTGTCACTCGTTCACTTATGTAGAAGCTGTAGAAACCATTTCATATTTAGCTAGAAGCCATCTTGTATAACAAAAACCATTTCAGCTTTTCTCTCAAGCACATAGACCAGAGTGAACTTTCCGTCACCCCGTGAGAAGAGGCCTACAGGATGGGCTATTGGTATGTGTTAATTAGGCTGGTTAGGACAGGAGTTGCACTCCCTTGTACCTGTCCGCCATCTTGTTGATAAGGCTTTGTTTTTCCAAGTTTAATTGAGGATTTCTGTAATTGGATGCCCTGACGTCAGACTGTTTGGCTAAGGGTATAAAGATACTAGGATTGATTGCATTAGCCAGCCTTACTGGGCCCGGCTCTGCTGGGACCACGTTTGGCTCATGCTGTGCTTTATTAATTAATAAAGCTGTTTGTTAGCTGCCTAAACAGAGAGGAGCGGTTTTTTTTTGCTTCAACACTTAGCACAGTGAAACTCCTCTCTCAAATTTTATCATTTTCCTATTCTATTCACCAGTGCTTGTGTTTTATTAAATCACTTCTCATTTTATCTGCCCCATTTTCAAAATTGAAAGGTTTTCTATTGCTGCATTAATTTGTCACTTCCCAACCTAAATACAAGTCACTCCGCAGACTGAAACATAATTGAATGATATGGAATTAAACATCATGACCATTATTTTTCACAACAGTGAAAATTTAAACTGTAAACTCACTGCAAAATTACTACTTCTCAACTAAAGAAAGGGCTATTAAGCCCATTTCAATCTCTCACAAAGAGCCCAAAGGATACTAGCCCTGCCCCCATATCCCATTTGCTTTACAATTATCACCATCTTATAGGTGATAATTTGTAAAGTTATAAGAGGTTGGCAAAGGGTTGAAAATAGTTCTCCTAAGAAAATGGACAGCTTAAGTTTTCCTAATTACAAGTCTTGACAGAGAATCTACTCACGTAATTTGCTAATAACAGGAAGAAGTCCACCCCATGTATGCAAATACTCTGCTCTGAAGCCATCCAAAGAAAACAACAACACTGGGGGTTTTGTAAACCTGAGCAAACAGAGATAAGAATATTAAAGGAAAAACATCAGATTTAATATGTGCATGGAGGGTTTTTTTTAGGTGAAAAACAGCTATACAGTTGTTCATTAATTATCACAATTGCCAAAAAAAATTCAAAGCTTATTTGCTGAAAGATGCATTTTCAGTTGTCCAGAAACTAGAAAGACTTAAGTGCATGCTTAAGTCTAAGCATTCGACCTGTCCTGTTGAAGAAGTCTGTGGGATTATTCAGATGAGTAAAGTTTGGCACATGCTTGAGTATTTATAGGATCAGAGCATTATTCTACTCTGGATCACTGGAACTCACCCAATGCAACACAAAACAAAGAATTCAGAGTGATTTATAATATACACAAGTATGATAAGGAAACATAAATTATTGTTTAAGTATGTCTATATTAGGAAACATGTAGACATAGCCTCAAAATGCTAAAAGTACAGTTGCTATAGAGACCACAAAATGATTCTATTAGCTCAATGTGAGCACTGGGAAAGATCCACTTACACTCTTGTTTATTCCCAGGAATGGAAAAAACATGCAATTTTTATGTGTTAGCATTTGTGAGGGGGAAGCATTGACTGAACAGTAGCAGCATTTTGATTAGATGCAGAGGGAGCAAACAGCTCTCACAATGTTGTGTGCAATCAGCACCCACCACATTTCATGTGCCCGCCCTTTAAGTGTGTTTCACCTTTGTAATACCAGTATTATAGAATCAAAGGGTTGGAAAAGACCTCAGGAGGTCATCGAATCCAACCCCCTGCTAAAAGCAGGACTAACCCTGACTAAATCATCTCAGCCAAGGCTTTGTCAAGCTGGGACTTAAAAACCGCTGGGGATAGAGATTCCATTACCTTCTTAGGTTACCCATTCCAGGGCTTCACCACACTCCTAATGAAACAGCTTTTCCTAATATCCAACCTAGACCCTCCTCCCCCACTGCAACTTTAGACCATTGTTCCTTGTTCTTCATCTGTCACAACTGAGAACAGCTTTTCTCCATCCTATTTTGAACCCCCCTTTAGGTAGTTGAAGGCTGCTATCAAATCCCCCCCCCCTCACTCTTCTCTTCTGTAGACTAAATAAGCCCAAATCCCTCAGTCTCTCATAAGTCATGTGCTCCACCCCCCTAATAATTGCCCTCTGCTGGACTTTCTCCAATGCATCCTCATGCCTTCATAATGGGGGCCCCAGAATTGGATACAATAGTCCAGATGTGGCCTCACCAGTGTCAAAGGGGAATAATCACTTCCCTAGATCTGCAGGCAATGCTCCTACTAATGCAAACCAATATGCCATTAGCCTTCTTGGCTACAAGGGTACACCGTTCACTCATATCCAGCTTCTTATCCAGTATAATCTCCAGGTCCTTTTCTGCTGAACTGCTGCTTCACCAGTTGGTCCACAGCCTGTAGCAATGCTTGGGATTCTTCCATCCCAAGTGCAGGCCTGTGTACCTGAATCGCATCAGATTTATTTTGGTCCAATCCTCCAATTTGTCTAGGTCATTCTGGACCCTAGCCCTACTCTTCAGCATATCTAGCTCTCCTCCTATCTTAGTGGAAAAAGGAAAACACTACATAGACAAAAGCCAGGGAGATTTGGCAACCCTATGCACAGGCAGCTCTATAGAGGACATTCTATGCATATTTAATGAAGAAATTTGCATATTGTGGATATTTCGCATAGGATTGTAAAATTCCATTTATGGTTCATACACCTTCCACCGAGCAGTGGTGGTGTGTATGACATAAAACTGTCCCAAATCTAGCACCTATTGGGATATCATCTGGAATTGCTGAATTAGGTGGGTAGATTCTAGGGTGCATGGGTTACTGGGTGCTGGAGTTTGTAAGGAAATTGAGTAGTTGCCTAAGCGCTGCTTAGGAGGCACTGACATAGGTAAGCAGTAGGAGTTCAATGAGTGCTGGCATTGTGTTATCTTGGAGGACAGCTATGTCTGGTTGATATCAGTACTATACCCCTTTACATTCTGGCCCTGCTAGTAGAAATGTTAGATGCTGCTGCCACCCCTTAATTTCCTCTCACTGCTGCTTACCCCTTCCCTGCTCAGCTCCCACAGTGAAAACGGCCACAGGAGAGTAATGTGAACCACCTGACTGCCTGTCTCCATGATTCATAGCAACCAAAAGAACTAGCTGCTGCTGCTGCAGTTCACAGGTAAGCCTAGGGACATTAAATCTAGTTTAATCAACTAATCATATAATTGATGGATTTTCCATCAACCAGTCAATTAGTCGATAAGCAGGGGAGCTGTAGCAGGGTTAGCTCCCAGCCCTGGGAGCTAACCCCTCTGCAGCTCTGCCTTTTAAATGTATTAAGAGCCAACAGGCTCTTAATACATTTAAAAGGCTGAAGTGCAGCAGAGGGCAGTACCTCCAGCACTGGCTCCTGCTCCCCCCTTGCTGCCTCTAAAAGAGGCAGCAAGTGGGGGGGAAGCGACTAACCAAGGAACTAATTGACTAACCAATAAGCTTTTGCTTATTGGATAGTTAACTAGCTGCTTACATCCCTAGGTCAGCTAGAGTAAGATTCAGGCAGGGATGAGAGGGCATGCAAAATTAGTGACATTTGATAGCTCTGACTAATACTTGGATTGACTTTCCTATGCCTCTCTAGCTGGTTGAATGGAGTACAGTTATTTTTAGTTCATAAGCCTGGAATACCTTCCATAACAAAAAATTAGTTACCTTAGAAGGCCCAATGCTGCATTATTCTGATGTGGCAACAGTGAGCACCTAACAACATGCAGGACTGGAAATTTATGGGAGATTCTTATAAAATGTTTCTTGTACATTGAACTCTATATCAAGATAAAAAGACCTACTATTACTGAGACACTATAGATAATAACAGCCTGTCATTACTATTCAGACACTGCTGAAGGGAGAATTGGTTGGCTTGTTTGTAAACTGAGATCATTATCCTTAAAAATATTGTTAAAAATGTAAACTTCCAGGTAAAAATAAACTATCCTTACCCTGCTGGACACTGGGGCTCACTAATGTCCTCACATTGTTCTTCGACCCAACTTTTCTCTCCTAAAATAGGTATAATCACATTAAGAAATAGTGTACAGTTCTCATATTAAATAAAACTGATCTGTGAAATGATCATCAACATTTCGACATTTCAGGGGGGGGGGGGGGGAAAGGGGAGGAGAATAGCAAAAATCTTTTCTTTCAGTTTTCACACCATTAGAAAGCCAGGCCATTTCTTAGGTGGCATCATCATTACTTCTAGTCACCTGAATACTAAAAACTTTGTGACCATTAGCAAAAAGTTGGCCAGAAATCAAACAAGGATAACAAGATGTGAAAAGAAGAAACAACTAGAGCATGCTCTACACAAGCTTTATACTGTTGTTATTCCTGTTAAGAGTAAGACTAAGGACTAAAAATGTTACAATTAACATTGTCTCCTAACTTTTCCTACTGTTCCTTTCAAACAAGGAGGGTGTGGTTGGGAAGATAAGGTGGAAATTTACCTTGGCACATTATATAATAATTGACACAACAATCTTTGTTTTCCACACAATCATCTGAGCAGGAACAATGATAGTCCTTCTGCCTCTTCTCTCCACACCGGAACTTATTGCAGGTCCATATATGAGCTACAATCAGAAATCAAATGTAAAAGCTTCCACTTTTAGTTCTTGTTTACATGCATAAGTAACATAAAAATTAAGCATTAAATTCTGCCTCCTGATCCACATGAAAAGATATGTTTTGAGGAGTTCACACATGCATAACAGCAGAATCTGACCTTTCAAGAAAGCAGTAACAGATATTTCTAATAACATCACATTTAGTTATACTGCCAAAGAGCTAGGAGGACAATAAAAGGCAGCCTTTTACCGATTTTCCGAAGTATGGCAATTTATATCATTTGTTAAGCAAGCAGGCTTAATTCAGCCTTGTTCTCATAGCAAGTCTAAGCAACATGGTGTTTAAACTGCCATTTTTTGAGAAGTAACGTTGGTTCAAACCAAGGGGTTTGATTCGAACTAACGCATCCCAGAGAGCACTTCCTGGTTCAAATCAGCTGGCGAGCAGAATAGTGTGTGGGCGAGATTATGCTAATGAAGTGCAGGATATTTAAATCCCCTCTTCATTAGCAATTTCGGTTGGCTACATTTGCATCCCTAGTTCTAACTAGGGAGCAAGCATAGATATAGCCTCACTGGGGATGCTAACTCATTAGATATTAGAAATACATGAGCTGTTTCCCTCCTTACCTGGCTGTATGCATGTTTCCTGGAAATCTAAGCAGCAGTTTCCAAGTTCAACACAATTTCTATCACAGCGGCAGCTTCCAAATGTCCTCTCGAAGCAACGGCCTTTGCAGGTTTTGACTGAAATATTGGACAGAGTCATTGCTTTCAGTAATCGCAGTATTAGGCACTTGGCAGCTAGTAGCAAAAAGTAGGGCAGAACGCAAACAATGGAACAACATGTAAATATTTGCTAAGGATAGAAAACTAGACCCTGTGCAAGATACAAATTTTGTATTAATTATGACTATTTCAGTTAGGGGTATGATTAAGTATTACATTTAGCATTCCTTCATGTCTTTTCTATTCTTTCTTTCAAACAAGCAGTGTGTTGCTTTTGGGATGCTGGTTGGGAATTGGAGGTGGAAATTTAGATGTTGATGGCTAAACATTAATACTGCACTAAATTGGTGAATGTGCCATAGAAGATCATTGTCGGGAGTGGCACAGCTATATTATACCACCTTTTAGCTACATGTATTATTCTAGTTTTCTAGTAAATTGGGATTACCTCAAATTAGGTATCACAGGGACTGGTTTACTAAATGTGTTATATGTTATGTGGTGGTGTGTGTAGCTGATTTATTTCCTGATAATTAAAATCACATATACTAAGCCCTCTTTCCCCACAAATGAAATTTAATGTTGATAAATGTAAAGTAATGCACATGGGAAAAAATAATCCCAACGATACATACAATATGATGGGGACTCATTTAGCTATAACTTCTCAAGAGAGATTGGTGTGTAGCAGCAATCAAAAAAGCAAACAGAATGTTAGGAATCATAAAAAAGGGGATAGAGAATAAAACAGAAAATATCTTATTGTCTCTATATAAAACCATGGTACTCCTACATCTTGAATACTGCATATAGATGTGGTCACCTCTTCTTAAAAAAAAAAAAAAAAAAAAAAAAAGATATATTGGCATTGGAAAAGGTTCAGAAGAGGGCAACAAAATGATTAGGAGTTTAGAACGGGTCCCTAGGAAGAGAGATTAAAAAGACTTTTTTTTTCTAAGCTGAAAAGTCTAAGAGACTAAGGGGAGATATAATAGAAATCCATAAAATTCTGACTGGTATGGAAAAAGTGAATAAGAAAAGTTATTTACTTATTCCTGCAATATAAGAATTAGGGGTCACCAAATGAAATTAATAGGCAGCAGGTTTAAAACAAACAAGAGGAAGTTTTTCTTCACTCAGTGCTCAGTCAATCTCTGGAACTTCTTGCCAGAGAATGTGGTGAAGGCTAGGACTTTAACAGGGTTCAAAAAAGAGCTAGATAGATTCTTGGAGGTTAGGTCCATCAATGGCTATTAGCCAGCATGGGTAGGAATGGTGTCCCTAGCCTCTGTTTCTCTGGAGGTGGGTGATAGGGGAGGGATCATGTCAGGATTACCTGTTGTATTCCCTCCCACTGGGGCATCTGGTATTGGCCACTGTCAGCAGACAGGGTACTGGGCTGAATGGACCACTAGTCTGACCCAGTATGGCCATTCTTATGTTCGTATCTACAAAGGTCTGACATAAGTATTTCACAGTTAAGAAAAAGGAAAACAGGAAAAGAATGGAAGTCAGCTACTGAATCAAGTGTCCACCTCAACTCTCTCTCACAGTTTAAATCAGTTAGGAACAAATTCTGTCATCTCTGCAAAGCCAAAGGAAAATGGTGGAACAATACCAAACAGATTCCAGGGGGGGATTTAACAGTAATTGTATTATCAGGGTAAATACTATTATGGGATTATTGGCTGAGCCTGCAAAGGCCTTATATTCAAAGGTATTTCTGTGTTCTGAGTCTGGACACAACTTTTTACAACTCACTCCCTGTTGGATTTCTTTCATGGAGCATTTATTCATTTCATTCGTGAAGTTGTTTCATCTGTTTCAGCGCCTAGATTACCTCCTACCAGTCCCTATCAAAGCCAAACCTTATAATGGAGGAAGGAGAAGGGAAAACACCAATACATTAGGAGAATTCCATAGAAAATCCCCACAGGAAAGTCCTCTGACTCACAGGCTGGCATTTGAAACTACTTCAGGTAAGGCAAGTCATAAAAAAATTCGTGATCAATTTTAAAAAAAGAAATCACATTAATTACCATCTCTTGAACAGCTAGGCTTCAGTCCAAATATACACCCTAGGATTATGGTTAGCACACAGGCAGAAAGTACCTGTAATATAGTAAAGAAAATAAAAAACAGAGTTAAGTGTAACTGTAGGATAGTTTTGAAACCTCTCTTTTAGGTAATGAAAATGTAGTTGCCCCTTCTATATGAAAGCATGTTAGCCTGCAGAAGCTAATAAATGTGAAAATTAGAGGACCAATTGCATAGCCATTACTCACACAAATAGTCTTTACTTGTGCAAGTAATTCTGCTGATTTCAATGAGACCATTCACATGAGTCAAGATGAGAGGACTGGCCCCTTCCTTCTTTTATCTTCCTAATAAAAATATTAGCACTGTCCTATGTCAAATCCTTACAATGTTTTTCCTTCCCCAAAATGAAAAGGTTGGCTTTTAATGTTTCTGTGACTGGTGCTAAGAATGGACCACAGTGACAATGGCACATCAGGGCAGATTCCAAGAAATAGGGCAGATGCACTCCAAAAACTGGCGGTTTATTCTATAATTAGATTTCTATAAAATTCATCATACTAGTACAAAACATAGTTATCAAGAAGCTAAAATACAGTGCCCCTTAGGCATTCCACCCCTTAGTTCCCATCTGGAAATATTGGTATTTTATAATGAGAATTACTGAAAACACAGTTCACCACATGAGAGGTTCTACCAATCCCAAAAGGATCAGACACTTACCCCAGTCAATATGTTTTAAGATTTACCCAAATATCACAAATCCTTAATAACTAACTGAAACTGTATTAAGAAAAGACAAGAGTTACTGAAAGATCAAAGAATCATATACAGTACAAGAGATTGACAAGTCCTGAGTTGTGTCAGATAGTGAATTTGCTGGCTTCCACACATAAGTCTTTCTGGAAACATTGCAGCAGGTCAGAATCCAAAGGCAGCTTATATGCAAAGTCCATTTGATTCTTTTTATGTGTTTCCCAGGGTATTCCAGATAACGTATTGGAATGCCTTAATCACATGTTTTAACATTTCCTTGTTTAAAGTCAACAGATTAGAAATGCAAAATGAGATCCAGGTTTCTGGATGAAATTGGCTCTCATGTTTAAGCACAACCTGTGACTGGGGCTCCTTCTTTTTTGAGCACACAGTGCAGGAGAATGAACCAGTGGTAGTATGGCTGATCTAGTTAGGTCCTGTGATGCTGTTGCTGGTGTATATATGTGGGCAGAGTTGGCACTGAGGTTTGTTGCATGGATTGGTTCCTGAGTTAGAGTTATTATGGTGCAGTGTAGAGCTGCTGGGGAGAATACGCTTCAGGTTGGCGGGTTGTCTGTCCACAGGTTCATTCTCATGTACAGCTACTAACGTAATATATGCCATCATGTGCCAACAATGCCCCACTGCTATATACAATCGGCCAAACTGGACAGTCCCTACGTAAAAGAATCAATGGACACAAATCAGATATTAGGAATGGCAACATACAAAAACCTGTAGGGGAACACTTCAATCTCCCTGGACACACAATTGCAGATCTAAAGGTAGCCATCCTGCAGCAAAAAAAACTTCAGGACCAGACTTCAAAGAGAAACTGCTGAGCTACAGTTCATCTTCAAGTTTGACACAATCAACTCTGGATTAAACAAAGACTGTGAATGGCTAGCTAACTACAAAAGCAGCTTCTCCTCTCTTGGAATTCACACCTTCAGATCAGCTACTAGAAGTAGGCCTCATCCTCCCTGATTGGATCCACCTTGTCATCTCCAGCCTGATTCTGGCCTGCATATTTATACCTGCCTCTGGAAATTTCCCACTACTTGCATCTGATGAAGTGGGTCTTTGTCCACGAAAGCTTATGCTCCAACACTTCAGTTAGTCTATAAGGTGCCACAGGACTCCTCGCCGCTTTTGATATACATAGAGGAAGTGCCTACATTTCTTTATAATAGGAATAGATAAGCTGAATACATTACAGGTAATATTATGAATTTTTGGCTGTGCTTCTCATCTTTGATCTTCAGTCCCTGCTCTCAAACTCCTCTCTTTACATTTGATGCAAAGCCAATCACATTCCAGGCACATCCTATTGTGCTGGCACAACCAAACACTGACCTTGCTTTAAGTTATGAGAAGAGGAAGTTGCATACCAAATTTGATGGTCCTAGCTCTTACCATGTAGGAGGAGTTCTTGAACAAACGGACTTGCAGATGGACGGACACACACACACACACACACACACACACTCACTCTGTAAAATATATAGTAGATATGCTGAACAGTCCTGGGCCCAATATGACCCTTGGAGGACACCAATATTTACCTCCTCTCCATTCTGAAAACTGATCCTTAATTCTTACCCTTTGTTTCCTCTCCTTCAACCAATTTCTGATTCATGAAAGGACCTTCCCTCTTATCCCATGATAGCTTAGCTTGCGTAAGAGCCTTTGGTGGGGAACGTTATCAGAGGCTTTCTGAAAATCTGTGTACACTATATCCTTGTCCACATGCTTGTTGACCCCTCAAAGAATTCTAGTAGATTGGGGAGGCATGATTTCTCTTTACAAAAATTCAGAAATTGAAAAAAAAAACCCTCTGAATTTCAATATCCAATCTATTAAGAAATTATATGTAAAAAAATACATGGATGCTGTACAGTACATCAGGTTTACACAGCCAGTGACTATTGACACTTAGACAATACCAGCTCATATTAATTTAAAAGAAACATTTAGAAAGAATCAGTGACTGTGATACCCAAGCCATACCAAAAAAATCAAATGTAAATACAGTACTACCAGCTCTAAAGTGGTAATATTACGTTTTTTGAAAAACAATCTGAAGAAGTTTAAATAAAACCTAGACTAGGCACAAATACCATATCACCAGTGATTTTGGCAGCTAACTGCCTTGTCTTCTACTCCAAATAAATATATATACACACAACTCATCTTAACATGCATGACCCAGAATAGGATTCTGGTCATCAGAGTAAATGAATCCTTCCTTGTGGTCAGGAAGTCTAACTCAAATAGTAATGTTACTGTTGAATTGCACTGATTCATGTTCTGAGGTCCTCATGCATGCCACATTTAGGCAGCTTCACAGCACCCACAAACCACAAAACACATTACTAAAACATTACTGTTTAAGACAAGCCAGAAAATCACTGTTAATACACAGCATGGAAAAAAACAGGCCAGATCCTTAGCTGGTGAGCTACGCTGATTTTTAACCAAGCACCTGCAAATTTGTATTCTCCTTGGATATTTTATTTACTGAAATTTTTAAATTAGACATCTTTTTAAGTCACACTACCATAAAAAGTACTTTTTTCAGGCCTGTGATGTTGTATAACAATCAATTCTATTATAGAATCTTAAGACTATTGCATTTGCTTTCCTTAGCTTAAAAGTAAGGTTCGCTGAAGAGGCCTGGATGTCTCAGTAGCTTCATAATGGGACAATTCACCCACAAAATGACAGTTAACTCCAACACAGCAAAAGAAAATTGTTACCTCCTAATATTTAGCAACTTATGTGGCTCTGAATTAAGGGTACCTAGCACCCACTATAGTCAATAGGAGCCTTTCCATTGACTTCAGTGGGGTTTGGAGCAGGCCCCCATTTCTACAACATTTACAATTGCTATTCTGTGCACCTCATATCGCTGAGTTTTAGTCCCCACTGCATAGCCTAAGGAAAAGGTCTCATGATATCCACAAAACTGCCATCATTAGGGAGATCTGAGCAGAGGCGCCAAGGACTGAACAGGCAAGGCCTGAACAATGCTTTTATTCATCAAGATGCTACCTCCAGATAAGCATTAAGGCTCACTGCCAGGACACTACTGCTGCCCTATGCCTGATCTCTGGATAAACAGTGAACAGAGCTCACAGATTAGCACCTCTCATGAGCGCTCAACATGCCAAAAATATAAAGTTTTTATTTCATCATATGAATCTTGTCCAGAAGTAGAAGTTAAAAAACAAACCCCCAAACAAACAAAAAAAACTTAACATCTACAGAAATGTCCCTTGACCTTGTCATTCCCTGTAACTTTCAGATATCATTTAGCCAAAAAGTCAGACTGCATTTCTAGGATAAACAGTATTTAAGGAAAGTTGTCAAAACAAAAACAAAACAGAGGCAGCAAGAAAAGTAGGATGTTTTTAAAGAGGTCTTTGAGCGTGTTTGTCTTGGAACAAAACGATGTCCTCCTCTAAGGATGAATCTCTGTCTCCTCACTGCTTCCTTTATGTGGGAGGACATAGGAAAAAGCCTTGGCCTATAAACAATGATGGATGTTGTCAACGGATGGGTGGATAGTTGCAAAAGCTGTAATCCTGAAGACATTTAGAAATATCCTTATTTTGAATTTGATAGATAGTATAACCACACCCTGGCTAGGCATCAGTTTCTTAGGTCACTCACTATGGACCTGATCATGCTGAACTGACCTAAAAGCAACAGAAATGAGGACTAAGATAGGAATAACGTGAATATTGCAGATCTGATACCCTGGAATTCCCAGGAGCCTAGCCATACTAAACCAGAGTACCATTATCCTGGGCCAAGTTGTGGGTGGTCATGCCTAATGGTGAAAGCTGGAGTCAGAAACCAGCAGTCAGAGCTGAATGTTGGAGCCAAAGTTGGAAAACAAGAAGAGCTGGAGAGTACTGGGGTGAGGCAGAAGCATGGCTAGGAACAAGGCAAAGAAGTGATTGCAGGTATAGGTGTAAATGTTGAATACCCACTAACCTGGGCTACTGCTGGGCTTAAGAACAGAACTGGTGGTGCCTTTGAGAGAGTCTGATAGATCATAGTGGTCAATTTAGGTCAGCTGGCTGGCTGTAGTTTCAGCGGCAAGTCCTGATTCCAGACAATGTCCTACCGGGTGAACTCCAGTGAAGTTTCTCACCATTGCTTGCTTCCTGCCAGCCACAATTCCTTCCCTTGTTTCCCTATTCATTCAGGCTATGTCTACACTACAAGCTTTTTGTGGCAGAGTGTATGCTAATGGTTAGCATGAGTCACAATGTCATGAGCATATTTTCTGCTGATGCTTTTTGCGCAAA